AGACATTTGGAAAGCAGAAGGGAGTTTTTCCCAATCTCCCCCCACCCCACCCCCGGTTTCCTGTCCAAAGTGGTGTATCACTTTCCCGGGCGTAATAATTCTCACTTCATGGCTGTTTGTGGGACGTCACTCCATCACTAACCTCTGAAATCCCAGCCTCTGCCCCTCTGTCGGGCAAGAATTGTTGCCCTCACGTTTAGGTCATTCCTCCTAAATTCTCTTTTAGATCTGCTGGTTGCTATCTTATATTTGATCCCCTGGTTCCGGATTCCGCAGCAAATGGGAACAGACTATTTATTACTAACCTCATCCAACCTGGAGTCCTGTAGTGTAGTGGTTAGAGCGCTCGCCTCGCAAGCGAGAGGACCCGGGTTCAATTCCCGGGCAGGGCGAAACCTTAGGCAAGTTTCCTTACTCCACACGCCTCTGTCTACCTATCAGTAAGTAAGAACCCGGTTGTTAGTCGATTGGTGGATCACTTTCCTGGGCATAATAGTACCTTCAAAATTTAAACAATAATTGGATTTGTGGGACGCTGCTGCGCGCAATTGGCTGCCACGTTTACATAGTCAATTCACTTTACAGTATATCCTGTGAAGCGCTTTGCGACGTCTCAAAGACGTGATAAGGTGCTCTATCAAAAGCAAGAGTTTTTATAATATTATTCTAACCCTGTTATCATTTTGAACATCTCTTATTAGGTTCCTGCCAATGGACGGCCATTGAATCTAATGGCTGCTTCTCTGCTCCTAAATAGTTCTCTTGTTTAAGGTCGTGAGATTGTGTGACTCCGGATTGTTCCAACAGCAGGTTCCTGACTTTGGGCTGCGCCTCCAGCTCAGGGACCTAATAGAGACGTTCAAAATGATAACAGGGTTAGAATAATATAAGCTGATTGAGGTTGTTAAAATAATACAGGGTTTCAATAGAGGAGAGAAACTATTTCCTCTGGTGGGGGAATCCAGAACAGGGGGGGGGGGGTATCATCTTAAAATTAGTGCTCGGTTATTTATGAGAGAAATCATAAAGTTTTCACCCAAAGGTCATGGTATCTGGAATTCTCTCCCCCAAAAGGCGGCGGATACTGGATCTAATCACACCTGAGGTGGATAGATGTTAGTTGGGTCCGGGTATCAAGGGATATGGGGCAAAGGCAGGTAATTGGACCTTAGGAACAGATCAGCCTTGATCTAATAGTGGCGGAACAGGCTTGAGGGGCTGAATGGCCTACTCCTGTTCCTGTTTCTCTCAGCTCCAATGACCTCTCACTCGGAACCACATCTTTGGGTTTGTGTTTCTCTGGCCATGAGGGAGGGAGAGGACTCCACATCCCACCCCCCCACACACACACTCAGCTCCCCTCTCAGCCAGAGGGCTCGTTGCTGCTGTCGACTTGTGTCATGTTGTTTCATAGTGGAGTGTTTTGCACTCCACCCACCCCAGGGGCTCGGAGCTCAGCTCCAATACATTGCAAATGTCACTCACTCTGAAATCTTGTGACGTGGCTGACACATCTGTGCCCCCAGTGCAGTCTGCGCTCTCTGTAACCTGTGCGCTGTACAAACCCAGCCCTCCCCCCCACCCCACCACACACAAACCTCCCCCGCAAACCCAGCCCCCCCCATCTCCCCCCCCCCCGCAAACCCAGCCGCCCCGCTCCCCACCTCCTCACACGCAAGCCCAGCCCCCCTACCTCCCCCACACGCAAACCCAGCCCCCCCCCACTCCCACACACACAAACCTCCCCGCAAACCCAGCCCCCCCATCTCCCCCCCCCCGCAAACCCAGCCGCCCCGCTCCCCACCTCCTCACACGCAAACCCAGCCCCCCCCCACTCACAAACCTCCAGAGTGTAAAACCCACAAAAGAAACCCGGCTCTGACACAAAAGTTACTAAACCGGGGAAATGCAAACAAACCTGTATCGCCGTGTAACCTGCGCTTTTACTTTTATGCGTGTGAGTTCGTGAGTGTGAGTGAGTTAGTGAGTGTGAGTGAGTTAGTGAGTGTGAATGAGTTAGTATGAGTGTGAGTTAGTGAATGAGTGTGAGTTAGTGAGTGTGAGTGAGCCAGTGAATGTGTTTGTTAGTTCGTGAGTTGAGTTGCTGAGTGTGAGTTAGTTTGTGAGTGACTGAATTAGTGAATGTGAGTGAGTTAGTGACTGAGTGTGAGTGAGCTCCGCTGCTGTGTAAGGAGGAGTGAGTGTTTCTTGTGGCGATGCGCTGAGATTGCAGAGACCAGGAAGCGGTGGGATTTTCCTGTTGACGGAGACTCTCCTGGACTGCGCTCCCAGCGACATCTGTGTATCTTTGTTCATCGGAGAGGTACTAAACTAAGCTATTTATAAAAAATTATTGCTTTATTCCACATTGAGAACCTGCCAATACCCAGTGAACATCTCTAATTGATCTCTTAACATCTCCCCCTCTCCCCCCATCCTACATACTCCCCCGCCACACACGCTCTCCCCCCCACCTGCGCCCCCCTCTCTCTCTCTCTCTCCGCACCACCTCCTGTTCCCCCAACAGTGACTGTGGGTTGAGGCTGTGAGTTTCAATATGAGGCTGAAACCTAGGACTTTCTGACCCAGAGGTGAGAGGGTGACAAGCATCTGAATCGAGATCATCGTGTGTCAATCTGGCTCAGTTGGTCGCACTCTCGCTTCTGAATCAGGAGGTGGTGGGTTCAAGCCCCCACATGCAATGCAACGCTGGGGGGTGAAGAAGTGGGCAGGGGGAGAGTTCTACATTGCCGGAGATGTCGTTCTTCACGAGAGGTTAAACCGAGCTCCTGCCTGTGCCCTGTTCAGGTGGACATTAAGGATTGCGTGGCATTATTCAGAAACAGAAGGGAGTTTCTCTCTCTTCCAATTCTTGGCCAAAGATTGCTTGTTCACTTCACGGTTGTTTGCGATTGAAGGGGGGTAAATTCGTAACAAATCCACGCATATAAATGACCTGGACTTGAGTATGGGGAGTACAATTTCCAAGTTTGCACATGATACTGAGCTAGGAAAAGTAGTAAATGGTGAGAAGGACAGTAGCAGACTGCAAGAGGATATAGACAGACTGGTAAAATGGGCAGACACGTGGCAGACAAAGTTTAATGTGGAGAAATGCAAAGAAGAATGAGGAGAGGCAATATAAGCTGATGGGACAATCTTGAAGAGGTGAAGGAACAGAGAGACCTGGGGCTCATATAAGAAAATCTTTGAAGGTGGCAGGACAGGTAGATAAAGCTGTTAATAAAGCATACGGGATACCGGGCTTTATAAATAGGGGCATAAAATACAAAAGTAAGGAAGTTATGATGAACCTTTATGAAACACTAGTTTTAGCTACAGTACTGTGTTCAGTTCTGGGCACCACAGTTTAGGAAGGATGTCAAGGCATTGGAGAGGGCAAAGGAGATTTACCAGGATGGTACCAGGAATGAGGGACTTCAGTTATGAGGAGAAGCTAGAGAAGCTACAATTATTCTCCTTGGAGCAGAGAAGATTAAGAGGAAACTTAATAGAAGTTTTCCATATTATGAGGGGATTGGACAGGTGAACAAGGATACATTATTTCCATTAATGGGTGGGTCGGTAACCCGAGGACACCGATTTAAAATAGTTGTTAGAGAAACAGAGGGCAGATGATAAGAATTTTTTTCACACAACAAATTATTGTCATCTGGAATGTATTACCTGAAAGGGTGGTGGAAGCCGATTCGATAACAATTTTTAAGAGAGTAGATAATTATTTGGGGAGGACAAGTTTGCAGGGCTATGGGGAGAGAGCGGAGGAGTGGGATTGATTAGGACAGCTCTTTTCCAAGAGCCAGCACAGACAAGATGGGCTGAATGTCCTCTTTCTGTGCTGTATAATTCTATGAAACACTATTTCAGTGAGTGAATAGCGAACCTGTGGAACAGGCTCCCTAGGGAGATGGTTGAAGCAGAAAGTGTTGATTCTTTCAAACACAGATGAGATAGTTTTCTTTTAGGAAATAACATTATGGGACATAGTACATAGATAGTTCAGGACAATATATGCATGCGACCGCCAGGAAGGTGGAAGGCGAACTAGATGGTCTGTTTTCGTCTAGTATTTATGTTATTGTTATGTTTATTGAGAACGTTACTGTGTGCAAATCGGCTGCTCTGTTTGCCTAAAAAATGCACAGTCACTACACTTTACAGTCCACAGTCTCAATGACACAATTGGGGTTTTACCAATGCATGGATTATGATAATGATGGGCACAGACTGTTCCAATTCCTGGGTTAGCTCTACATATAAAGCTCCTGATCAGTGTAGTCAAGAGTAGTATCAACTATGCGATTAGACTCCAGCAGTTAACCCCTAAGGCTTTCCGAAATTAGGGAAGCGGGATGTGTCCCTCCAGGGGGAGAGAGAGAGAGAGAGAGAGTGAATTCCATCCCAACAATCTATCTCTGGCATTTCCATATGTAGGTGGGATACATGGAATTCTCAGTTGGGTTTGGATACTCTTAAACACGGTGATGGGTTTCCACATATCAGACTGAGCTGAGGAAATAGATAAATAAATGAATAAGTAAATAAATAAATAAATCAGCGTAGTCTGACTGTGACACTGTCAACAGTAATCTAATCAGTCGTCAGGGCAACTTCCACTGATATTACAGATTTCTCTTCCTGGTCTCCTAACTGCTCTTCGATACCGATCAACTCTGGCCAAAGGAAAGATAACTTAAAAGTATTTTTTAATCCGTTGACACTGCCTCGTTATAGTAATCCAGTTCCGAGCAGCAAGGACACATTCACACTCATTAACTCACACCCACTAACTCACACTCATTCACACTGACTAACCAACACTAACTCACACTCATTAACTCGCACTCATTCACCCTCACTAACTCACTAATTCACATATACTAACTCATTCATTCACACTCATTCACTCACTAACGCACACTCATGCACCTCACTAACTCCCTCATTCACACTCACTAACTCACACTCATTCACACTCACTACTGGCTCAGTTGGTGGTTCCCTGGCCTCTGGGTCAGAAAGTTGTGGCTTGAAACCATTGTCGAGGTCAGCCCGAGGCTTCAGTGCAGTGCTGGGGGAGAGTGTAGTGACTGCTGTGTTTTTAGGCGAACATGGCAGCAGGTTAGCACACACCTCCGACAACATAGCACTCCCTCCTCCCAACGCTGCAATGGAGCGTCAGCCTGGACGGTGAACACAAAGTAGGTGTACGCTCACCCATACGGTCCCTATACACAGAGCTCCAGTCAGCAGGCAGGGCTGGGCAGGGAGGGCAGGGCCAGTCTGTATAGATTGTTAGGTTGTTTTCCTGGAGTGAGGTGCGTTGCTCACTGGAGAGCACGGGGATAGCCCAGAACCTGGAGGAGGAGCGTTCCCAGCCACGTAGCCCGAAACCACAGGTAGCTCTCGTGGAGGCTGATTTGCCAAAGTAGCAGAGTCTCTCCCACAGAGATCTGCAGCCGTCTGTAGAAGGAGGGGGCCTGCTCTCTCTCATACCTGGCAAAGCAAAGAGAAAAGAACCTGAGAACAACAACAACATGTGTTTATATAGCGCCCTTCACTTGGGGTAGCATCTCGTGCGCTGGGTATTTAACTGGGTATTACATATTATGAGAGATGTTGCTATCTTGTAAAATCCATAGCAATATTTATGCATGTCTTTTCCGCTGTCATAAATAATAATCCCTGCATTTTGTTTAAACACCTTATTGCTTCATCGAAATGTCCCAAAGCGCTTCAAAGGATTTTACTGTGAAATGTGTATTCTGCAGGCGAAACAATTTGTCCACAGAAATGTCCCCGCAAACTATTACAAATGGTGACTGGTTTTATCCGGGGGGGGGGGGGGGGGGCTCTGTGGGGAAGGAGAATAAGAGAGAGAGAGAAACTTCCTTCTCTATTCAAATAGCTTTAACATCCACCTGTTAAACATACGGACGGGGAGTGAGGTTTAACGTCTCATCTGAAGAACAGGGCCTCCAATCATGCTGCCCTTTTTTATTGTAGTGGGATTCTGGGGGTGGGATGGGGGGGTGAGAGTTGTGGTTAGAGAAAGAGAAGGATGCCAAAGAAGGGACAGAAGTGAGAGGGAAGGAGGGTTAAACCGCCAAGTTAATTTCCAATTGAAATTGGGTTCAGAAAGCAACGTTACCGCAGTCTGTCAGAATGTGATCTCAATCAGAATGTTACTAATGAGAAAACTAACACTTCAACCTCGCAGGGAGCAGAAATGAAAAGATTACACAGTATTTTGCAATCAGTAACAAACTGCTCTTTGTCCCCGGCTAACACTGAGGTAATAGCTCCATTTATATTATAATACATTAATATTATAACAAATGATGTGAATAAATTGATGTAATACAGTAATAATTTGGCTCTTGCCAGCCTGCGCCTAATACTTCCCAGTACTTTTAGGTAAGCAGGAATGGGTCCCTCCAGGGAGAGAGAGTGCACATTTCATTGCAACAATCTACCTCTGGGATTTCCACATGTAGGTGGGATGTCTGGAAGCACGGTGATCGGTTTCTGCATGTGTCTCACGCCCGGCTGACTGAGCAAATAATTCAATAAATTGATTAATCCTGATTTTTCTCCTCCCCCCCTATTTTAGGTTTTGTACCAGTGACTCATTTGCTCAGGGTCAGACCTACACTGGCATTGCCCACTGGTCGGGGCAGAGTGTGCGAGGATGGCACAAGATAGTTAGGCGGGGCAGGGCAGCAGCAAGGAAGATTATACTGCACAAAAAGCTATATTTCCCAACAGCTTCTCGACAGGACATGCCTGAGATTGCCAGTTGCCCAGAGGATTGACAGTGATGCCAAAATTTAGAAGTATCTCCGCTTTGTTCAGGTACTTAAGGTTCCCCTGACCGCTTGCCCATCTGCCTGCCCCGTCTGCCTGCCTGCACGGTAGTGCCCCTCAAAGAGTCGTGGATTGAGTAACTAAACAGGTGTGTGGAGCAAGGAAACTTGCCTAAGATTTTGGCTCATTCAAGGGAATTGAACTTGGGTTCTCTCGCTTGCGAGGCGAGTGCTTTAAACACTATGCGACAGGACTCCTATCACAAAAAGCGAAGAGAGAGGATTAAATGCTAATCCTTTCATTTCATATCGCGTTATATCACGTGGTTGAGACATCTCAAAATGCTTCTCAGGATTTTACTGTGAATAAAGTCGGGGAGCGGCAGCAGGACAGCGCGGGGAGGAGCCTGGGCCTACTGACCCAGGTACTTAAACTCGACGCCGGAGCGAGTGCAGCTAGCGAGGGGAGGGGAGGTGTGGGGGCGGAGCGGGGGAACTGCGACGTCATAGATTAGTTTTCAGGTGAGTGCGCGCGCACAAAAAAAAAAAAAAAAAAAAAAACTCTGCGCCCCCCCCCCCCAGGGCTCACATCAGAGCCCACTATGGTCCTGTTGGGTTCGATGCCCCAATCTGCGGGATAATGCCATCCACCTGACCGCTCGCTCCCGGTCCCCGCGTGCGCACTATGGCTGCCGCTTTGACCCGAGCCCCCTCACCCCCTCCCTCCCTCCCCCCTCCTCTCTCCCCCCAAACCCTCCCCCTCTCCATCTCTCCCGCTCTCTCCTCCTCTCTCTCCGTCCCTCTCGTCTTCTATCCCCACTTGACCCTCCCACAACCTCCCTCTGTTCCAGCCTGGGAATCCTCCGCCGGGCTCACCGTGGCACTCGGCGTTGGCTGTCCAGCAGCAGCCACACCGACTGCCCCATTCCCCACCACTCTCGCCAGCCACCCCGGACACAGACCCGGGGAGTCAACCTCTCCTCCCTCATCCCCATTCCCCCCACCCCTGCCTCACAACCTGGACCCCCCTCCCCTCCCACACACCCTTCTGTCAACCGCTCCCTCCACATCGGACTGCAAAATGTCCGCTCCCTCTGCAACAAGGCCCTGGTCATCAACGATCTCATCCTTGATGAGAACGTTGATATCATGGCCTTGACAGAAACGTGGCTCACCCCAGGCGACACCTTCCCCCTCACGGAGGCCACGCCACCCGGCTACACCTCCCACCACATCCCCCGCCCCAACCGCCGTGGCGGTGGTGTTGCCCTTATCTCAAGGACACCACTTGCCCTATCCCCCTACTCCTCTGGCTCTTTCCCCTCCTTCGAGCACCTCACCCTCTCCCACCCCTCATTCCTCTCCCTTAAAATCCTCCTCCTCTACCGGCCCCCTAAAACCTCTCCCACCTTCATCTCTGACATTTCAACACTCCTCACATCTCTTTGCCTCTCCTCTGATCGCCTCATCATCCTGGGCGACTTTAACCTACACTTCACCCCCTCCTGCTCCATCTCCACAGACTTCTCTTCCCTGCTCTCCTCACTCAACCTTTCCCTACACATAAACTCCCCCACTCACAGTCACGGCCACCCACTCGATTTGGTGATCACCCGGGGCCTCAGTGTCTCGGATGTCACTATTACCGACAAGGCCATCTCCGACCACTACTTCATCTCCTTCACCACCTCCACCCCCCTCCCCACCTCCACCAGACCCACCACCATCTTCTACCGCCCTTGGAAGAAGTTACCCCCACAATCCCTAACCGATGCCTTGGAGTCCTCTGAACTCCTCTCCCTCTGGCCTTCAACCCTCACCGACCCCTCTTCTCCTCTCTCCCTCCTCCACAATATCCTCTCCTCCACACTCGATACTCTTGCCCCCATCACTTCCCGCACTGTCTCCTACTCCCGCTCCTCCCCCTGGTACACCACCCACCTCCGCTCACTGAAATGCCAGGTGCGGGCTGCTGAGCGCACCTTTGTCAAATCCGGCTTAACGGTCCACCGACAAATCTGGCTGGACCTCCTCAAAATTTACCGCTCCACTCTAGCCTCGGCCAAGTCGTCCTTCTACTCCAGGATAATCCTGGAGGCGAAGAACAACCCCAGGCTACTGTTTTCCACCACATCCCGACTCCTCCGTCCCCCCCGCCACCCCGCGCAGGTCATCTCCTCCAACCTTCACTGCGAGGAGATGCTGGATTTCCTTGAATCCAAGATCAAGGGAATCCGCTCCGCGGTCACTTCCCCTCCAACTTCCACCCACCACCCACCCCTTCCCTCCCACACTCCGACTCCTACCCATCCTCCCCTACACACCTTCGTACCCGTTTCCCCACCCTCTGTCACTGAACTCATCCTATCCCTAAAACCAACCACCTGCTCCCTTGACCCCATCCCCACTCCACTCCTTATCTCCCAGCTCCATTTTCTTGCCCCACACATCACTGACATCATAAACCTGTCCCTCTCCTCTGGCTCTGTCCCCATTCCATTAAAAACTGCCATCATCACGCCCACCCTGAAAAAACCCTCCCTTGATGCGTCGCAGCTATCAAGCTACCGGCCCATCTCCAACCTCCCCTTTCTCTCCAAGGTCTTGGAAAGAGTTGTCGCCTCCCAACTGCGCTCTTTCCTCTCCACCCATTCTCTTTTTGAACCCCTTCAGTCAGGTTTCCGTGCTGCTCATAGCACAGAAACTGCCCTGGTCAAGGTCACCAATGATATCCTGACCATCTGTGACCAGGGCTCCCTCTGTCTCCTCGTCCTCCTCGACCTATCGGCAGCATTCGATACGGTCGACCACGCTATCCTACTCCACCGCTTGTCCTCCCACCTCAACCTTCAAGGCACTGTCCTTGAATGGTTTAGCTCTTACCTTTCCACCGTCTTCACTTCGTCTCAACGAATGGCTTCTCCTCCACCCCCCGTACTGTCTCATGTGGTGTCCCTCAGGGCTCTGTCCTCGGTCCCCTCCTCTTCACCCTCTATATGCTCCCCCTCGGTGACATCATCCGCAAACATGGGGTTAACTTCCACATGTATGCGGATGACACCCAACTCTACCTTTCCTCCTCTACTCTCAACTCCACGACCACCGATGTCCTGACAGCCTGCCTGTCCGACATCGAGTCCTGGACGAGAGACAACTTTCTTCAGCTCAACGTGCGAAAAACCGAGGCCCTCCTGATTGGCTCACGTCAGCGCCTCCGCACCTCAGGCGCTGACACCATCAGCATCCAAGGCTGCACTCTCCACCTCTCAAAGCCAGTCAGGAACCTCGGCGTTTTGTTCGACCCTGAGCTGTCCTTTCTCCCTCACATCCGCACCACAACTGGCACCGCCTTCCATCACCTCCGGAATATCGCCAGACTACGGCACTACCTCACCCCTCACGCTGCTGAAACCCTGGTTCACGCCTTTGTCACCTCAAGGCTGGACTATGGGAACTCTCTCCTCGCCGGCCTTCCCGCCACCTCCCTCCACAAGCTGCAGGTCATTCAGAACTCTGCAGCTCGTGTACTGTCCCGCACCAGGCTTCGGGACCACATCACTCCTACCCTCGCTCGCCTCCACTGGCTCCCCATCCCCCAGAGGATTGATTTCAAGATCCTCATCCTCACCTACAAGGCCATTCACGGCCTTGCTCCCTCCTACCTCTCCAACCTACTATCCCCCTACCTACCTGCCCGTACCCTCCGTTCCTCTGGCTCCGGTCTGCTCCACGTCCCCCGCCCCAACCGCCCTACTATCGGTGGTCGGGCCTTCAGCCTCTCAGCCCCGAGGCTCTGGAACTCCATCCCCCAGTGCCTTCGCCTTGCTTCCTCCCTTTCCTCCTTCAAGGCCGGTCTCAAAACCTTTCTCTTTGACCGTGCCTTCAGCTCCCCTCTCGACTCTCTTCCTCCTCCTCGCTCCCTCCCTTCCCTCCCCTCACCCTGACCATTTCCCCCCTCCTCTCTCCCTCCCTTCCCTCCCCTCACCCTGACCATTTCCCCCCTGCTCGGGTCATGACCCAACTGTGCAGCGCCTTGGGACGTCCTCCTGACGTGAAAGGCGCTCTATAAATGGAATCTTGTTGTTGTTGTTGTTGTTGAATAGAAGTGACTATATTTGTTGGTTCCAGTTTGTGGAAATTTGCATAAGGTTTCGCCCAATCCAGGAACCACTTTGCGGGGCGAGTGCGCTAACCACAACCTCTGAAACTCCATCTCACAGTCCCTCCGCCTTGCCCCCTTCCCTGCCTCCTTCAAGACCCCTAACCCTAACCCAGGACCCTCCTCTTCGACGGTGCCTCCTATCCCTCCCCGCTCTCCTGATCCCAACCGCCAGCTTGGGTCCAAATTCCTGACTGTCCAGTGCCTTGGGACGTCCTCCTGATGCGCAAGGCGCTGAGTAAATGTCATGTGTTGTTGTTGCTCTGTGAAGGGTCCAGAGTGCATCCTACCCACCGGCACAGAGCCCTGAGGCAGGAGCGGGACATGTTGATGAAGGAGGTGGCGCTGGCTCTGGTCTGCAGAGCGGTCTCGATCCCTCGCAGGAGGTCATTGGTTTTCAGGAGCAGCAGCATTTGGCGAGGGACGTTGTTCAGCAGTTCACTGATGCGAGGCAGGTACATGGCTGCATTGATCCGGATCTCGGCGTCCTGCAGAATGGCAAATTGGAGGATTTGATTAGTATGGATGCGGATCAGTTGATTCACATTGTGCTGCAGTGTGTGCAACGCGGCTTGACATATAGAGTCCACTAGGAGGTTGGTTTGCGGTCGCCCTCAGCCTCTCTGCCTCCACCCTCTGGAACTCCATTCCACAGTCCCTCTGCCTCACCTCCTCCCTTGCCTCCGTCAAGGCCTGTCTCAAGCCCTTCCATTTCGACCATGCCTTCGGTCACCTTCCGACCCCCATCCTCCCTACCCTCGACCCTCCTGATCTCAACCCCAGCTCGGATCCAAATCCTTGACTGTCCAGTGCCTTTAGATAACAATAACAAAAACAAAATTACATTTGTATAGCGCCTTTCATATCGGGAGGACATCCCAAAGCGCTGGACAGACAGCTACGGACCTGAGCTGGGGGTCAGAGTCAGGGAAGGGGTAGGGCGGGGGGGGAAGCATGGCCGAAGAGGAGGGTCTTGATATGGGTCTTGAAGGAGGCAAGGGAGAGGGCAAGGCAGAGGGACTGTGGGATGGAGTTCCAGAGGGTGGGGGCAGAGTGACAGAAGGCCCGCCCGCCAATAGTGGGGCGAGCAAGGTGGGGGTTGTCCTCTCGACGTGAAATGCACTGCATAAACGTAATGTGTTGTTGTTAACAAATCAGGCAATTTGCACCTCGATTTCCTTTGAAGAATCGAATCGGGTAAACATACCCTTTGCAAGTCAGCACCCTGCCCCAACCCCCCACCCCCACCCCATGTCCCTGGGGTGAACCACTACTCAGCCTGAATAAATCGGACTAGTCAGAATTACTGACCAGGAGTGAATTATACTGCTACCACGATCTTGAAGAGTTTTAAGACGTCTCGACGACATGATAAGGCGCTATATCAAATGCAAGGGTTAGTATTATTATTATTATTGGCATAAAACTAGGATCCCCTCGCGCCGTTCTCTGTCTCTCTCTCTCTAGTCTCTTTCTTTCTCTCTCTTATCGGTCAGCTGCATTTGTTTGAAAATTCGAGTCTCAGCAGTTATGTCAAAAGCACAACTGCAGTCATTTTTGCTTATTCACTCAAATAGAATCGATGGCGGGTCCCATTTTTTGCGGGGAGGCAGAAAGGCACATAAAAGGAGTGTGACCTGAACGCCATTGGATTTTCCGACTCTAACTCGCCTTTGCAGACGGCCTTTGTTTAAAGTGACAGTTTCTTTTATGTACAGAAGAATAGAGAGCCAGGAGTGATTACAGGCTGCAGTCTAATCAAAGAGCTTCAGGTGGTTAGCGTACAAAAGACCGAGTAGATGCCTGGGAGTGACTTACAGGCCTGGGAGCACAGCTGGCTCTGGGTGAGATCATTGTGGAGTTTGAACCCCCACGTCCACTAATCTCTGGCCTGCTCCACAACCCCCGACCCTGCATCCCACAGTCCCTTCACCTCGCGCCCCCCCCTCCCCCTTGCCTCCTTCAAGGCACGTCTAAACATCCTCCTACCCCCTACCCTCCTCGCCCTCCACCCTCCCTGATCCCAAGCCCCAGCTCGGGTGCAAATCCTTGACTGTCCAACTCCTTGGGATGTCCTCCCGACGTGAAAGGAGTTGTGTAAATGTAATTTGTGGGTGTTGTTTAATCTGAGGCCTTGTTTGTGCATGTTTAGTTGGACGATAAAGATCCTACAAAGTTATTGGACTTTCTAGCGTCCTGGGCAACAATCCTTCAAACAAAAACTTGGTTGTTCGCTTCACGGGGGACGTCGCTTGCGCAAATCGGCAGCCACGTTTGCCTACAAATACACAGTGACTACATGTGACAGCAATCATATTAGATTCAAATGGTATATACACAATAATGGATCCTCAGGACTGAGTTATTCAATAATAAATAATCCTTGCATTTGATATAGCCCCTTATCACGTCTTTGAGACATCTGCTTCAAAGCGTTTCCGCCAAGCGACTAACTTACTGCTGGGTAAACAGTGACGTGTGGAGTAAGGGAACTTGCCTAAGGTTTCACCCTGCCCTGTGGGGAGTGGGGAGGGTTGCATACAGAATGGCTGCTCCCAGGTTACAGGCAGGAATCCAATCGAGGGGTTCATATACAGAGTAACTGAGCCTGGGAGTGAGTTTCAGGCTGGGAAGCTAATGAGACCATTCAATATCAAAGCTACTCGAGTCAAGAGTCTGAAATGCTTCTTTCTGTCTCGAGACAGTGTGATTGAGTTCAGAAATCCACCACGCGCCACCTCTCTTAGCAACACACTGACTCCTCCAGCCATTCAGTTATGTTTATCTGCTTATGTTTGTGTGTGTGTGTTATGTGTGGTGGTGTTTCTGTGAGTGTGGTTGTTTGTGTGGGTATGTATGAGGGTGGAGGGGTGGGGTGTGTGTGTGGTGGACTGTGTGTGTATGTGAGTGTGTGTTTGTGTGCAGGGGCGGGGTGGGGGGTATTTGTGTGTGTGTATATATATTTGTGTGTGTATATGTTGTGTGTGGGTGTTGGAGGGGGAAAGGGGTGGTTGGTGCTCACCGAATATCACTGGAGACTTAAACAAATGCACAAAGTCAAACCCCAATGATCAGAGCTTGCCATTTTGCTTGAGTGGTCTGAGCTGGAGTGGCAGATGGGCGGCTGATAAGCAAGCACTGATTGCTGAGCGCTCCAGTGAGCTCAGAGCCCCTCATTACAGAGGGGAAACCACACACTGGAAACCATTAGTAAGGATTAGTTTTCGGGACTTCAATTTGGTTGGGGCTCCATGCGGGATCAGTTTGGGCTTGTGATGATGATCATGATAATAATAATAATAATCCTTGCATTTGATACAGCGCCTTATCACGTCTTTGATGCGTCTCAAACCACCTCACAGAATATACCGCAGTGAATTGACTGTATATTTTGTGGGTGAAATTGCGCACAACAGCGATGGGTTAATGTCAGCTCATGAGAGAGAGAGAGAGAGAGAGAGAGAGAGAGAGAGAGACAAGTGTGTGGACGAAGAGGCCCGACTGAATACCTGACCTTAGCAAATTTCTGAAGTCACGTCTGAAAAACACTTTTTTTTTATCCAGAGAAAATTGATCAGATTAAAATCTCAGAACAAACGCTGCTTCAAACCATTTCCACCGTCCTGATGTCTTTTAACTCCTTCCGCTCTTGGCCCCTAGACAGCTCGGGGGAAACTCCATTTCCCTTCTGCTCTTAAGAGCTACAGCTTGCCCTGAAACTCCCCGTGTCCTTTACGCAGAAGCCTATAACTGTTTTGTTACAGTTTTAAGACCGAGTGGATTTTTGGGGAAAAAAAATCACTGTCAATTTGGAAGTTGTTTCCCCCAAACTCCCCACTCCTCCACCCCGCACTTCTGAAAAAGAAAATCAACCTAAATCCTTAGTGTGCAATGAGAAAGGGGCCAACTCAGCAATCAATGTCAGATGCAGTGGAGACATGTATCCCTAATTGGAGATTTCGGAGGGGGGTACATAACAACAATAATAACCTGCATTTATACCGCGCATGGGGTATATGGGGTAGTGCCCCGGAGCTCTTCACAGTGGTGGAGTCTGACGACTAGCTGAGGGAGTGGGAGTGGGGGGGTGGGGGTGGGAGGTGACTGAAAGGGCGAGCAAAAAGTAAAGACTTTTGAAGGTGGGGAGGGATGGGGTGAGGCGGAGGGATTGAGGGTGAGAGCTTGGAGTTTGGAGTTGACACGGCCACCAACGGTGGAGCGGAGGGGACGGGGGACAGGCAGGGAGGTGGCAGACAGGCAAATCACTTGAAGGGATTTGAAAACATATGATGCCGGGGATGAGTTTCAGGCTTCACCATTGAGGACGAGGGGGTGTGGGGAGTCGGGGTTCGGGACGGAGCCTATCTCAAGTACATTCAAAAACATTAGACCTTTCACTGAGCTACCCTCCCCCCACACCTCCCCATCCCCAACCCCCAGCACGATGGAACGGCCCAAGCCTATCTCTCCAAAAAGGAGTCGGTCACATCCGAACGGAACAAGTCTTTCACAGCAATGCTCTTATTGAGATGATTGAAGATGAAGTCCCTCGATTTGCCAAAGATTAATGCGGCCCCTTCAGGTTTCGTCTGTCACTGTGACATATCATCGCAGGGAGTTTTGTGGAAGAGGATTATGTGATAACACATCAGCTCCAATAAGTCAATAAAACGTGAAAAAAGGACAGAAATTAGAAAGAGCAGTTAGAAACCAGCCTCAAGTATCACAGGCGCTGACTGAGACCCAATGTTATAACTCAGAGGAGAGTGTAATGTAAACTTGATTGGTCACTGTTAGACAGAAAGAATTGTGGAGCCCTGTAACATAGCAGTTAGCTGCTCGTCTCACAAGCGAGTGAACCTGGGTTCGATTCCCGGTTGGAGCAAAACCTAAGGCAGGATTCCGTCTAAAAATAAATGTGGTCGCTCAATCCACAACTGTGTGTGGGGGCCACTGCTGTGCAAATTTGGCTGCCTTTTTTCGCCCACAAAATACACAGTCAATCCAGTGAAGCATTTTAAGACGTCTCAATGATGTGATCAGGTGCTATATCAAATGCAAGGATTATTATTATAAATAAAGAACACAATGACTAGGACTGGTCAAATCAAGCAAGAAAATGATGTTCTTTTTCAATTCCATGCATCCTACCTACAAATGGAAATTCCAGAGAGATTTATTGGAACTCACTAGATTATTATCCCTGGAAAGTGATCCGCTAATCGACTAACAACCAGGTTCCTCCTTACTGCGAGGTAAACAGAGGCGTGTGGAGTAAGGAAACTTGCCTAAGGTTTTGTCTCTCCCGGGAATTAAACCCGGGTCCTCTTGTTTGCGAGGCGAGCGCTCTAACCACTGAGCTACAGGACTCCACAAATCTGCGGCAGTTCCAGTCCTGACCCACAAACTGGGCTCACAAGAACGGGTACAAGTCCAGCTTCTAATGAGAACAGCTGGCATCAAAAGATTACTGCACTGATCAGTGGAT